TTTCCTGTAAATGGAAAAGATTCTGATTGCATCATGTCAGAATTGTTTGCAACATTTCCTTTCTGTTGAGACTGGTGCAATGAATACATAATTTAGTAATGGATACAACATGCATGTCATTTTAGGGTCATAACCAACTCTGTAATATTTTTTTCAACTACAGTGGAAGTGTCCTGGGAGGTATGAGAGGAAAACTTATTTCATGTGAGGTTGACAATCTGTCAAGTTATTCAGGACACCTCCTAGAATTGAAGCAACCAAGTTGCTGGCACAATTGGAATGACAGGGTCTGGCTTCATGCTCTGGATTCATGGATTAATTGCTTTTGTTTACATATTTGTAAAATGAGAATTAGAGTAATGTGACACTGCTTGTCTCACAGGGTTGCTGTGAAGGTCAATTAAGAGAGTCATGAAAAAACTTCTCAAACTGCACATTGAGGTAGATGTGTTGATTCTATTTTTCCTTAGAATCATCTTCCCAACTCTCCTGTTTTTTTCTTTAAAAATATTCAAGCTTGAAGCCCCATCTACTTCCCTCTCTGTGGGGCTTCATTATCCCATATCTTTGAGGGGTTCACCACATTCTGGGTAGTTATGTGTCTTCCTCCTTCCACTAGGAGGCTGCTTCCAAGAATGGAGACTGTGTGGCCTGGAGCCCATAGCCTGGTGAAGTAACTATACATAACATTCATGCACTTGGCCTTGAATCAATGTACAGATGAATAAAAGTATTAATGCATTACACTTCCCAGTGACAGCTATGGAATTTAACAGATGCCTCCTGGAGAAACCTTAATGCAAAGATGACAAATTTTGGTGGTAGAAATTTCAGGCTTGAGACAAGTTTCCAAATAAATAAAAGGAAGTAGGTGAGGTGGTTGACACATTTTGCATTTTACCAAACAGGCATCCACCTACTGAGTCCAGTTTTATGCAACACTGGAGAAGTTCTGGCCAGAGGGACTTAAAGAATTGGCAAGAAGTGAATATCACTTACCATACAAGGGCTAAATATGTGAAAGATAAAGAGAGAAGGAAGTGTACAAACACAGGTTAAATATCTCCTGTTTCTATAATTTTTAGGAACTTTTAAGGTTTTGTTTTTTATTTAATCCATGGCTTCTCAGGCCAAGCAGACACAGAACGTGGGTCTGAGTGATGATAATGAGTTGGTAGAATTTCTAGATGCACAGTCCTTGGATCTCTCCCACCAGGTGACACTGACTATTATTACAGGCCCTCTCCTACCAGTTCCTCTGCATCCATTATAAAATCCCCCATTCATCAGACAAACAGGGACTTCCAGCCAAGATGGAGGCATAGGTAAATATGGCTCACCTCCTCACACAACTACATCAAAATTACAACTAAACTATAGAACAACCATCAATCAGAACCATCAGAAATCAAGATGCATGGAAGTCTGACAACTACAGATCTTAAGAAATTACATTCATCTTGACTGGTAAAGGAGGTGGCAACACCGAGGTGATGAATAGGCTGGACCCACACCCAGCTGAGGTGGATAAAAATTCAGGAGGGATATCTGAGGAGTGAAGAGTCCCAACCCCACACAAGCCCTCCAGCCCAGAGTTCTAGTGCCTGGAAGATAAATACTCATAACTACTGGCTACAAAAACCAGTGGGAATTGAGTCAGTGGAGGAAACTGCTAGTTTCAAGAAGTTCCTCTTAAAGAAACCACACATAGACTCATTCCTCTGAGCTCCAGCATCCGGGGTAACACCTTGAAAGTCACCTATGATATACAGGGAGGAATTGAAGTGCCTGACATCAAGGGAGGGGTGGGGGACTAATTTCTCCCAACAGAAAGGTAGACAGGGTCCATTGTGTGTTTTCTGAACTCTTCCCCAACACAGCCATAGAGCTGGCAGATGGATGCCATATCTGAGACTCCATCAACCTGGCCAGCTCTGTTTGCCCTGCTCTAGAGATCCCCTGAGCCTCCTCTCTATCCAACTAACCTGCCCACCCAAGTGGATAACAGTGGCTTTTACATATGAATGGCTGGTCTTGGCTCACGCTTCACAACTTCTTAAATTCTCTCAAACAAGCAACAGGCAGCTTCAGCAAACCCCCAACCCCCCATTCCTCTTGCTGAATGGCTCCAGCCATGGCACTAGCAATAGCCAGCATAGGTTCATAGCGTGGCTTTGCCTGGGAACCTCCAAGCCCAGCACAAGTATCAGCGTACTGCAGATCATTTTGTAGCTCATGCCCTGGGCAGAGAACAGGTGGAGGCTGACCTTGGCTTGTACTGCCTGGAGACCTCAGAGCCAGTACCCCCAGTGGACAGCTACAGACCACATCACAGCACCACCACACTGACCCTGAACATCTGAACCTCCACAAAGGGCAGAAGTTGGTGGTCTGTGATCACAGCCAGTCCTTGCAGCTCATTGACCTGGGTAAATACCTCCCATTGACCGCCAACAGCAATCAAGATTCAACTACAGGAGGAAGTTGTACTCAGCTCACATGAATACTCAGTTTGGGTAATAGGGGAGGCTGTGTCACTGGATCCTACAGGACACTTACTTCATTAGGCCACACTACTGAGTGAGGGAGCCATAGCAGCTCTATCTAATACACAAATACAAACACAAGGAGGCTGCCAAAATGAAGAGACAAAGAAACATGACTCAAATGAAAGAATAGATCAAAACTCCAGGAAAAGAACTAAACAAAATGGGAGCAAACAATCTATCAGATGCAGAGTTCAAAACACTGGGTATAAGGATGCTTGAGGAACTTAGTGAGGACCTCAATAGCACAGTCAGAAGTGAAGATTTCACTAATTGAAATAAAGAACAATTTACAGGAAAACAACACTACAGTGGATGAAGTTGAGAATCAAATCAGTGATTTGGAACATAGGAAAGTAAAAATCAACCAATCAGAACAACAAGAAGAAAAATGAATCCAAAAAGATGAGGATAGTGTAAGGAGTCCCTGGGACAACTTCAAATATTCCAACATTTGCATCATAGGAGTATCTGAAGGAGAAAAGAAAGAGCAGGAAATTGGAATCTATTTGAAAAAATAATAAAAGATAACCTCCCTAATTAGTGAATACACATGCAAGTCCGGGAAGCAGAGAGAGTCCCAAACAAGATGGATGGAAAGAAGACCACCCCAAGACACATCATAATTAAAATGTCAAAGGTTAGAGGTAAAGAGAGAATCTTAAAAGGAGCAAGAGAAAATAAATTAGTTACCTACCGGGAAGTTCCCATAAGACTGTCAGCTGAGTTCTCAAAAGAAACTTTGTAGGCTATCAGGGAAAGACAAGAAATATTCAGTCATGAAAAGCCAAGATTGCTCTACCCAGCAAAGATATCATTTAGAATCCAAGGGCAGATAAAGGGCTTCCCAAACAAGGAAAAACTAAATGAGTTAATCACCAAATCATTATTATATAAAAGGTTAAAGGGACCTATTTAAGAAAAGAAGAAAATCAAACTAGGAACAATAAAATGGCAAATATACATATCTATCAACAATTGAATCTAAAAAACAAACTAAGCAAACATGGAGAACAGAGACAGAATCATGGATATAGAGAGCATTCTGATGGTTGCTGGATGGGTGGAGGGTTTGGGGGGAATGGGTGAAGAGGTGTAAGGGTGTAGAGTACAAATTTTTTTTTACAGGATGACCATGGGGATGTGAAATACAGTATAGGAAATGGAGTAGCCAAAGAAGTTACACACATGACCAGTGGACATGAACAAAGATGTGGGGATTGTCTTAGGGGGTTTGGTGTCCTGGGTGGTCAGGAGCAATGGGGGAAAATTGGAACAACTGTAATAGCATAATCAATACAATATATATATTTTTTTAATTAAAAAAATCCTACGGGTCAAAACTGGAAGCTGAATGCTCTGGCTCTGTTTTCCCCAGAAAAGAAGCTCATGTCATCTTTTTTGAGTTTTGCATGCTATGTGTGCTTCCCATAGTGACATCTGCCATGTCAAGTGTGGTTAAGGTGTCAGGAAATCACTTGGTCATTCAAACTGCTATTCTGCTATTCTCTGTTTCATACCATTGTTCTGGACTTGTGGTCCTTCTAGAGAGAGGGATCCCTCCATTGGTCATGAAACTCTAACTGCTTGTCTACTGCAGGATGCTCTGAGGGGTGGAACAGAAAGCAGAATGAATTGATAAGCTTAGTGTAGCCAAGACTATTTTTATGTCCTGCCTGTCTTTGGGGGCCCTTTGTCAACAAAATTCTGATGGGTCAGCCTGAATGTGAAGCAATGATGAATGAGGCACAGCTAGGCCCACTTCTTATATTTACAATCCAGGAAGATGAAGTAGTCACCATCTCAACTCCACCAACATTTCTCAATGCCCACTATTCATAGTGTTGTTCTAGGGACTAGGGACATAATGGTGACTAATACCCAGTCTATGTCTTTAAGAAGCTCTCAGTCTGGTAAGGGAATTTGGTTTGTAGAACAACAGTGGGGATGGAGAGTAGACAGGGAAATAATAAAATTGTCAGCAGAGACTAGACATTGCTCAGAGGAGGAAACAGTTTTATCTGTTCAAGGAGTTTGGATAAGGTGACTCTAACAGAGAGGAATCTATTTGAGCCAGGTTTTGAAGGATAAGTAGGAACCTTCTGGAGGCACAGGGGCAGAAAACTACATGGGTAAAGATATATACACCTAGGTTTTTTGAAGGGTTTCAAGTATGTTTTAGTTCAGGCAGCCATGGAGCCAAGAGCATTTTAAAGATTTACCTTGAATATCTATAACCTTTGGACATACTGATAAAATGGAGTGAGTTGTTTATTGATTTCCCACAGAATATGATCTGAAGGGTGGAAAAAGTGGGAGTTTCAGGGTACTTTGCCAAATGTTGAGGTGGAGAGGGCACCTACAGTTGGAGGTCAGATGGCCTTTCTGCTGGCTGCTGTTCTAGCCCCACCTACTTTCTCAGCACATAATCATTTCTGTTCAGCTGAATCAGCTGGGTTGGGAAAGAAGGAAGCTTCACACTTACGGGCTGGTAAAGCATAACACACACTGCTGCAAGGAAAATTCAGAGAGAATCTCGGGAGGAAAGTGGCCATGGACCTGATCCCAAGCTTTTCCACAGAAACCTGGGTTCTCCTGGCTACCAGCCTGGTGCTCATCTATCTGTGAGTAAACTGTCCAGGCTCATGTTCTCTGTAATCTTGGACTTGGGGAGCTCATCAGGCCCCACTTTCCCTTCTCTATTTTAAAGATCCAACAGCCAATAAAGGGGAAGTTGCTTAAATTTGGGGGGCTACAAACACCAAATGGGTTATTGTCAATCTTACTATGATCTTTTAAAGGGGTAATATCCCATCTGCCCCCAACTCCCTATTTCTGTAGCCCACATACTTTGGTGATATTTACTCCTAGGGTGATTTTCTGAATTACTGCTGGTCTGGGTAGACCTAGACTAATTAACCAGAGTTCAGCAGAGGTAGATTTTAAAAAATGAGCTTGTGTGTGATGAGGTCCTCACCAACCTTCCAGCTCTGGGATCCTGGGGGTAGAGGGTGTGGCCTGGGGTTTGTCTCATTTTCTTCACCTTCCAAGTTCAGGATCTGCTGCAAGAGATGTGTGCAAGGATTGGTTTTTGTGTCACTAGATTTGTTCCTGCTCCTCTCCTTCCCATCACCTGGCATAATTTACACCATGCACCAGGGTGCAATCCAGACTTCCTGGGGGGCTAGAGACTGCCCCCTTCTCTTCATACTAGGTCTTCCCTCTCTTTAGTGTCTCTCCCCCAACACTCTCCTCCTACAACTCAGTCCTGTCATCCTATAATAGGCAGAACTGTTGAAGTATTCCCCATACATGAGAAAACTAAAGCAGAAGAAGCTTTCAGAAATCTTGACATTGTACTCTTTTTATTTCTCCTTTATCTTCTAGTGGGTTGTCATCATTATAGAGATTTATTTTCCCCCGATATGAAATCTGCTAACAGACTGTAAAGGCACAATCCCATAAGCTGATTTATATTTAAATATTTTTGCTATTAAGTTACAGTACAGGAGGATGAATCAAACCATCTAGCAGAAGAATTTCTTTCAAGAGTGTGATTCCTAATATGGAGGCATAGGTAGATACACTTTGCCTCTTCACACAACCAAAAGAAGGACAACAAATTTAAAAACAAAAAACCAACCAGATCTGCCAGAAAATCAAACTGTATAGAAGTCCAACAACCAAGGAATGAAAGAAGAAACATTCTTTTTAATGTAGGAGGGGTAGAGACTGGCAACTGCTGGAGAGGATGCATGGCAAGGCAGTACCTTGAGGACCGGGCAGGCGAGGTGGCACCTGGTGGTCCCACATTTGCAGGTGGATAAACCAAAAGAACAACTGGGAAGTAAGACAGGCCACACAACTCAGGGTTCCAGGTAGGTGGAAAAAGCCTCAAAACTTCTGGCTGTAAAAGCCCATGGGAATTGTGGCCATGGGATAAACTCCCAGTCTCACAGGAGAGTTCATTGGAGAGACCCACAGGGTCCTAGAACATACACAAAACCACCCACCCGGGAATCAGCACCACAAGGGCCCAATTTGCTTGTGGGTAGCAGGGGAAGTGATTGAAAGCAGGGGGAGATCTGGTCAAGCAGTACTGTTCCCTGTCAACCACTCTCCCCCATACAGTGCCACAAGGTTGGCCTGCCCTGGTGAATACCTAAGGCTCTACCCCTTACAGTGTTCCAAGTGTGCTGAGAAAAAGAAATATGGCCCAAATGAGAGAACAGATCAAAACTCCAGAAAAACAACTAAGCAATGAAGAGAGAGCCAAACTATCAGATGCACAGTTCAAAGCACTGGTAATCAGGATGCTCACAGAAATGGTTGAGTATGGATGAAAAATAGAGGAAGAAGTGAAATCTATACAAAGTGAAATAAATAAAAATATACAAGGAACCAACAGTGAAGGGAAGGAAACTGGGACTCAAATAAATAATTTGGAGCAGAAAGAAGAAACAAACATTCAACCAGAACAGAATGAAGAAAAAGAATTTAAAAAAAATGAGGAGAGGTTTAGGAACCTCCAGGACAACTTTGAACATTCTAACATTCAAATCATAAGGCCATCAAGGGAGAAGACAAAGAGCAAGAAATTGAAAGCTTACTTGAAAAATTAACGGAGAACTTCCCCAATCTGGCAAATGAAAATAGACTTCCAGGAAGTACAGGAAACCCCAAAAGTCCCAAAGCAGTTGGACCCAAAGAGGAACATACCAAGGCACATCATAATTACATTACCTAAGATTAAAAATAAGGAGAGAATCCTAGAAGCAGCTAGAGGAAAGAAGACAGTTACTTACAAAGGAGTTCCCATAAGACTATCAGCTGAATTCTCAAAAGAAACCTCACAGGCAAGAAGGGGCTGTAAAGAAGTATTCATAATCATGAAAGGCAAGGACCCACATCCAAGATTACTTTATCCAGCAAAGCTATCACAAAATGGAAGGGCAGATAAAGTGCTTCCCAGATAAGGTCAAGTTAAAGGAGTTCATCATCACTAAGCCCTTATTATATAAAATGTTAAAGGGACTTCTCTAAGAAAAAGAAGAGTATGAAAAATATGAGCAGTAAAACAACAACAAACTCATAACTAGCAACAACTAAACCTAAAAAAACCAAACAAAAACTAAGCATACAACTAAAATAGAAATAAAATCACAGATATAGAGATGACATGGAGGATTATTAGTGGGGATGGGGTGGGGGGAGAATGGGGGAAAAGGTACAGGGACTAAGAAGCATAAATGGTAGATAGAAAATAAACAGGGTGAGGTTAAGAATATCATAAAAAATGGAGCAGTCAGAGAACTGATATGTATCACCCATGGACATGAACTAAAGGGTGGGAGGAATGCCGGTGGGAAGGAGGTGGGAAAAAAGGGGAGAAAAAATTGGGACAAATGTAACAGCATAATGAATAAAATATACTTAAAAAATTTTAATTGTTTTTCAAGTACAGTTGTCCCCATTTTTCCCCCTCCACACCCTCAAGTTCCACCTATCCCCACCACCCATCCTTGATTCTACTCCCCTATGGCTTTGTCCATGTGTCCTTTACACATGTTCCTTGACTACCCTTCCCTTATTTTCCCTACTATCTCTCTCCCCACTCTGCTCTGGCTATTGTCTGTCTGTTCTTTGCTACAGACCTAAAAAAAAAAAAAAAAAAGAGTGGGATTCCTGCCATCACGTAGCAGGTTGGGATAGGAGGTATTTTGGACATGAAAGCCCCCTCCATGTCCTGTGTGACTTCTATCTTAATCTCACTTTCATGAAGAGTAGGCATCATGATGACTTGAATATAGAAAATATAAACATTATTTTAATTAATTGAAAGAAATGTTATGAATACAGCATATCAGGGCAACATAGTTTCTGTCTGATGACATTTTAGAATGACATGATAGTGTTTAATTTTATTCTATTTATTACTAGATTTTTCTTTAGTGACATAAGACTTTCTAGCATGCCCTTTCTGTAGAATAAAAGAGGCTGTTGGTACAAGATTTGTAGCTACAAAGGTATGTAAGTAACCTCACCCAACTAGAATAATATCTGAAATATGAGTCCATTGTACAAATACATACATGCATGACATAGATTGTATATATATATTTAAGTATACCTGCATAACTGGTTATTTTAATCTCACAGTGCAGGTGAGTAAGCGAGATTGTGAGGCAATGAGGGTAAGCGAGGCCTTCTGGAAGGAGTGGGAGGATATTTTCCCCAGAAACCCCGGTCTCACAGGGCAGCAGAGTAGGCATCTCTTCTGCCTGAACCTGGGGAGAGGACACCATCTAAGTCACACTGTGTGGTAGTGGGCTTGTCACTAGATGCTTTCACCACTGGGTAAACAAATTTGGTGCCTTAGGAGACACTGGTACAGCCGTGGTCATTGCTGTAGATAGACCATGTCCTCTTATGGCAATGCAGTGTAAGCACAACAGAAATGACTGGCTTTACTAAAAGCAGCATTACTCTACCAAAAAGGGGAAGCTGGAAAGAAACCACAAATTAACCCAGCCCATCCTCTGCCTTACTATGGAACATGAGTTTAGACACCAGACCAGGTCCCTTGAGGGATCAACATTGCTGACACATTCACTCAAGTTCTTGGCCTCATTTAAGAGTTCATGTAACATGATGTAGTTCAGAAGCAGAAATGGGTTTAATTTGATTTGCCATGGTTGTCATGGCAGAGGAAGAACTGGGTTGGTGCTATCTAAGGGTACCCCAGGTCTCGAAAGTCAGTGTACACAATTTCACCAGGTTTCTGAAGAAAGGATCCACACACCCACCTGGGCCCAGCTCAGGCTCCTCTGTCTGCTGTCCTTGAGCATGAGTTCTTTTACACATTATTTTACCATTTTTCATCACTTATTATAAGATTATTAATACTGCATAGAATGTTAGAAGCCTATACTTTCTTAAAGGGAAACCTCCAAAGAAGAGGGGACAAAGTTTTAATTCAGCTTTCTGAAACATATTTTATGTTGTATAGCACATTTTTTTGCAATAAACAGGAAGGCCCCTTTCAGCTGAAAGTGCTGGTAGGGCATGCTGAACGGTTATACAGAGCCTCCTCATCAGCCATACTTTTCTAATTTGCCTCTGTGGGGTGAGTCTTGTAGGTCCAGCAACTTCACCCTTAGAATGGTTGACAGGAGCCTCTTTCCTCAGCCTCTCCTTGCTCTCCACTCTTCTTCTATCTCTTAGTGACACTGGAGTGGAAAGGCTTGCAAGGATTCAGAACCCCCTGTTGTGAAATGCCACACATGACACAGGAAAGATGAGTCACAGGCAGGCCTACCATGGGAAGCAGTAGCCTTAATGGGATTTCAAGATAGCTGACACACAGAAGCAGTAAACAAACCAATTTCTGACTGGCCACCTTGAAAAAATGAGCAAGCCTGGTACTGTGCTTAGCAGGTGAGCATCACAGGCTGGAGGACCAGATACCTTGAGGGGAAGAATAGTCTGCAAATGGATCTTTAGTCATTGGTATCTTTATTCAGTTTCATTCAAGAAACACATGAGTCAATCACCCTTCTCTAGAGCTCAAGTCAATCAAATTGCCTCACAACAGAGACTTGGGTGTAGCTGACAGGCAACCACGTTTCTACAAGGCCGGGGGAACCTTTGAGCACAGTTTTCATTCTGTGGGTAAGACCACTGTAGCTATTATAAGACCTTCCTATGGTGACATACGAGTATTTAAGAAAAGCCAAATCTTAAAACAGAGTCATGGCATAGAGGGAAGTAAAGCCTAAATGTCACTGAACAAACTGTAAGGACACTGTCTCGGTAGGCTCACAGTAACCCCCTGCTACTGAGTGGGTGCAGTTAAGCAAAATCTTGTCATTGGAGCAGAATTTATTTTGTGTGTGTACATAGTATTTAAAAGTCATTGAAGAGTCAATTTGCTTAAAAAATAACTGAATTTTCTAGAAATATTCCAACTGAACCTCTCAGAGGCATTCACACTTGGGAATATTTAACAAGTACTCATTCATATTGGGTCCATGAAACTTCAGCCGCTTTTTTCTAATCATCATTAACTTTTGTGCGTCTCACAGAGGAAGTGGGAAAGGAGGTGAGAAGAGAATGTAATTATTGCTGTTGAAGTTGTTGTTACTATTGATTGCCTACATGTTCATTCCCTAGCTTGACTGATCCAGTTCTGCACCTGTTCCATTAACCCCATAACGTGGTTTTCTCTTTTACTTTAAAGATATGGGATCCATACACATGGGATTTTTAAGAAGCTGGGAATTCCTGGGCCAACACCCCTCCCATTTGTGGGAACCATTCTGGGCTATCGTAGGGTGAGTATTGTTTGGGCTTCCTCTTTTGCTTCTTATGGTTACAAATCACAGCTGAGTTCCATAGCAAAAGGGCTGTCCTCAAGGGGAAGTTCAGAGGTTTCACACTTTTCAGAAAGGGCATCTTAGGCACCACCCAGCCCAGCACCAGGTTTACCCAGGGCTCTATGTCAGCTGTTCAGAGCCTCACGTTTTGTCTTGGTTGGGCAGCAGAGCTCTCTGGCTGATTCAGGACATGATTTAATATTCCAACTTGTGTACATCCAGAGGAGGATTTTCCTTCTGCCAGGTGCAGGTTCCCAGGAAGATATAATCATGCTGAGTATTAGGAGAAATGCATGAAGAGGTGCCTGGTAGTGCCTCATGAGGTTGACTATGCCAGAGTCAGACGTTCCTGTTCCTAGGATATGTTCTGGGTAGCCTTTTTTTTCCTTCTTCCTCCTGGACAGCTGTGAAACTTCAGTGTATGAGGCAGCCCAAGTATTCACCACTGGGTAATTTGCACATGCATCCTTGAATTCTCTCAAGAATGGCTAAATCCGTGCTGATATTTCCATGGTTCTAACTCACACTTTGGTTCTCATGATGTCTTTGTGGGACTTGAAAGATGGAACAGGAGCTTCTGCTTTACCTCTCTGCACTCAAAGGAGGCAGCTTATGGCTGAGTCTGAGAGGGAGTGGTTATAACCGAACAGAAGGTGTGTCTTTTCAACCTCTAAGAGTTGTGTGGGGTTTTTTCTTTAAGAAACAAAAGCACAGTTACTTATACAAAGTCATTAGAAAGAAGATGATTTGACAAAGTTATTAAAAATTTAGTTTATCTGAAAGAAATGAATTCAGAACTTCATGGATTGTGAATTTTGGTAAAACCTTTGTGGTTGATTCAGTCCAGATGCTTCCCCTAGGGCCCAACCCTTGGACAGAAAGCTAGGACCTCTCATTCCTTAGGCCAGCAGGCAGAGCCTGTGTGCAGGCTGCTCTGTGCCTCAGATTTTCTATCCTGTAAGAAAGAGGCTTGTTTCTCAGATTCTAATTTTCCTAGTTGAGGTCTTCAGTGCCTCATCTAGTTCAAGAAATCCTATATATTTTTGCCTCTGAAAAGATAATAGTTTACTTTCCGCCCTTTCCCAGATCAACTCTTTATAGATGCACCCCAAGAACCACATGTCTGGAGCTTCTTTTGCATAGTTAAAACATCAAATATCACAGCTAAACTTAGCCAACAAGAAGATGTGTTATTTTAATTACAGAAGTTAAAACTCAAAGAAAGTGTTTTAATTCACTCTGTCCTTGTGCAGTGCTGGCATTTCCCCATCTTTTCCACGTTGATCCATAAAACTGGAAAGCAAGTACTTTCTCATTCATTCATTCACTCACATACTTACTCAACATACATGCCTGAGACTTACGTAAATCTATTAGACTTCAAGAGATCACTGGTGATAAAGTTCCTCATTCTGCTAGAATTCAGAAAGGTCAGTGAGAGAAATAAAAAGATGCTGCACCAGGAGATCAAAGAGTGTGCAAGCCACTCTTACTCTCCCTCAGCTTCAGTCCAGGAGTCTATGGAGGTAATAATTCTGGGGGTTATGGGGTTTGAGAGATAATACATGCACAACAAAGCCCTTCTGAAAGACAGGAGTTACTTAGTATCAAACACAAGGGTAAGTCAAGTATCAACACTACTTGGAGAAAATTCAAGAGTGATTTTAAATTCCCCACTGCAAATATCTCCTCTATTTCCTCTCTGTTTCCCAAGACACTGCTGAATAAGAGCTACCCTCTATCAGCGTGAAACACAGAAACACAGTCCATCTGAGTTCATGGGATTCAAGTCATTTTGGTCCCAGTGAGAGGTAGAGGCCAGTACATTCAGATCAATAATCTGATTTTGTTTCTCCTTGCAGGGTTTTTGGGATTTTGACCAGGAATGTTTTAAAAAGTATGGAAGAATGTGGGGGTGAGTACTGGGGAAACTCCCAGTGGATTTACTTGCTGTTATGATGAGGGCCCCATGGTGTGGAGGACAGTCTCAGCCCAGAGCCTCTCGGGATGAGGCACCTGTGGTAAAGGTTTTGGAGGCTTGTCCTACCAGGGATCCCAGATGTCACCAGGTGTCCAGGTCTGCATTCTGAATTGAGTTGGTGAGTTGCAGGTTGTCGTTACTCTCCAGACTTCAGTGGCCTAGGGACTCCTGGCATCACCTTCTGTCCAGTCTCATCATGCCCCTCTTCTCCATTTTTCCTCCCGTAGGTCTCCTTCCATTGGGTGAAATGCATTATTTCAGGCTCTTCTAATATAGGCTCATAAATGCCTATTACAACTCCTTCCCACATGATTGACTATTAATTAAAAGCCAAAGTCCTTCATTTTAAATTTGGATTTGTTATGTCATTGGGAAAAGGCTGTGGGTATAGGTAAATGGAAAGGGAAACCATATCTGCTCAGCTTTTTAAAATTTCTCTGAAAATATGGAGTTTGGGTTTTTAAAAAGATTTAAAGCAACCCTTCTCAATAGAAGTTTAGTTTATACAAGTATTGATTGCTTTATGTACTCTGTTCTACTACCTTTGAAGAGATGTAGGGTATTTCCAAACCACACTGCTCCCTGGTGGGCTGATGGACCTAAGGACTTTGTAAAGTGGCCTCAGGCAGTTGCAGGGGCTGTTCCTGTTGGGAGCTGCTGGAGGGGTGGTGGGTGCGGCAGGAGAGGGCTTGCCCTGCTGCTGGCAGATGTAGCCTGCTTGGAGCCCAGGGCCAGTTATGACCCACATGTAGAATAAATATAAGTAATGAAAGGAAAATATTTGTAAATGAATCATACATGCTTCTCTGTGTTTTTTATTCTCTTTGTTGTTTGTTTCAAATATTTCTAAACTGGATTCTACCAAGGGCCTCTCTTTAGCAGTTAAAATATTTCCTTTAAGCAATTGTAAACTAGTAATCGAATTTTAGAAAAAGAGCATAGAAATCATTCATATTTCTGCTATATCTTTTTGAGTACTCCAAGTCTTTTTTATTTGCAGACTCATTTTTACATATCTGTGATCAGTACACCTACAGTTTTCACCTAATATTCTGTCATACGCATTTTTATGTTTTTGATTATCTTCAAAAGTGTATCTCTTCCTTTTTATTGTTTATGGTATATTTTCCATTACCAAAAGTGTATTTTTAAGTGACTGAGTACCTACCCAGGCTCTCCTTATTATTTTTATGTTCTCAGATTATTTACTTGCCTTCATCTACTTACTAACTTAACTTCCTTTTTGATAGTGAATATTTTAAGCATACAAAAAATTATAAGAATGGTATAGGAAACACCCAGGTACATGACCTAGGTTTAAATGTTCTCATGCTATTTCCAACAACAGGCTGACAGTGACCAGAGGGGAGAGGGGAGGGAATTTCAGGGGAAAAGGGGAAGGGTTTACAGGAACAAGTATAAAGGACACATGGACAAAAACAAGCAGGGAATGGAAATGGGAGGGAGGTGGAGAGGGCTGGGGGGGTGGACTGGGATGGGAGTAAAAGGCAGAAAACTGTACTTGAACAACAATTAAAATTAAAAAAAGAATAGTAGGATAAGAAATATATAATCTATATAAAAAGAATAAAAAGTAAAAGACAAAAAAGAAAACTCCAGCAACAATGATCACAAGGAATATGGGTTATGTCACATCGGAATGAAAGCCTGGACTTTCAGACGTGGCTCCAGCTGCAGAAGCTGGCTTGTTAAACTGAATGAGCTGTTTTCTGGACACAGGTTCTATGATGGCCGACAGCCTATGTTAGCTATCACTGACCCAGACCTGATCAAAGCGGTCCTTGTGAAGGAATGCTACTCTGTCTTCACAAACCGACGGGTAGGTGTCCATTTTGTTTAAATTAAATTTTCAACAATTTAATTGTATTTGTTCATATTGAAATAGTAATAGATGAGCAGGAAGTTACCAAAAGAATCCAGGCATATCCCAGGTTATGCACCTTTCATTTTGTTTCCCCCGATGGCAATATCTTGTATAACTATAGTGCAACATTCACAGCAGGAGAGTGACATCGGTACCACATTTACAGAGCTTACTCAGATTTTATCTGTTTTATGTGCACTCATTTGTGTGTGTATTACTTATAACAATTTGACACGTATGTATATTTGTATAACTACCACTGTAAGTTGCCCGCTTACTATTTTTTTAGAGTCACAATGTGTAGCTTATCTTTTCCTTTTATCAGAGTCTTTAGCAGAACAAATATATATATATATATATATATATATATATATATATTTAACATTGACAAAGCCAATTTTTAAATTTTTTAAATAGGTTTAAACTGGCCTTTAGTGCCAATTCTAAACATTCTTCACCAAAGATTTTCTCTTCTTACTCTAAACATATACTTTTATATTTTAAATTTAAGCTTATTATTTTTTGTGTGTTAATATTTGTATAAGGTATGAATGCAGGTCAAGGTTCTTTTTTTCCCCTATGGATGTCTGAGTGCTGCAGCACCATTGTAGAAGGCTATCCCTTCTCCTGAACCGCTTATGTACCATTGTCAAAAGTGTTGGGCCTCCTGGCTGGTGCAGCTCAGTGGATTGAGCACGGGCCTGCGAACCACATGATTGCGGTTTGATTCCCATTCAGGGCATATGTCTGGGTTGCAGGTCAGTTCCCAGCAGGGGACTCACAAGAGGCAATGATACATTGATATTTCTCTCCTTCTCTCCTTCCCTTTCCCTCTAAAGATAAATAAATAAATAATCTAAAAAAATGTTGGGCCTATTTCTGGGGCTCTATTTGTCATTCTCTGTTCTGTTCACTGATTTACATATCTATCCTCCACCAGTACTGCATTGTCTTTTTAAAAAATATTTTTAATTGATTATGCTATTATAATTTCCCCATATTTTTCTACCCTTTATTCTCTTCCACCCTGTAGCTCTCTCCCATCATCATTCCCCCACCTTAGTTCATGTCCATGGGTCATACATGTAAGTTCTTTGGCTTCTACATTTCGCATACTATAGTTAACCTCTCCGGGTCTATTTTGTACCTACCAATTATGCTTCTTATTCCCTTTACTTTTTCCCCCATACCCTTCCCCACTGATAACCCTCCATTCGATTGCCATTTCTGTGATTCTGTTCCTGTTCTAGTTGTTTGCTTAGTTTGTTTTTGTTTTTTGTTTTAAGTTCAGTTGTTAATTGGTGAGTTTTTTGTCACTTTACTGTTTGTATTTTTTTTATCTTCTTTTTCTTAGAAAAGTTCTTTTAACATTTCATATAATAAGGGCTTGGTGATGATAAACTCCTTTAACTTGACCTTATCTGGGAAGCACTTTATCTGCCCTTCCATTCTAAATGATAGCTTTGCTGTAATCTTGGATGTAGGTCCTTGCCTCTCATGCCTTTGGATACTTCTTTCCAGCCTCTTCTTGCCTGCAAGGTTTCTTTGGAGAAATCAGCTGACAGTCTTATGGGCACTCCTTTGTAGGTAATTGTCTCCTTTTCCTTTGCTGCTTTCAAGATTCTCTCCTTATTTTTAATCTTGGTTAATGTAATTATGATGTTCCAGGTTTTGTGCTTCCTCGGGTCCAACTTCTTTGGGACTCTCTGAGCTTCCTGGACTTCCTAAAAGTCTATTTCCATTGCTGGATTGGGGAAGTTCTCATTATTTTTCAAGTAAGCTTTCAATTTCTTGCTCTTCCGAGTCTTCTCCTTCTGGCACTCCTATGACTTGAACGTTGGAATGTTTAAAGTTGTCCTGGAGGTTCCTAAGCCTCTCCTCATTTTTTGGAATTCCTGTTTCTTCATTCTGTTCTGGTTGAATTTTTTGTTCTTCCTTTTATTCCAAACTATTGACTTGAGTCCTGGTTTCCTGTCATTCACTGTTGGTTCCCTCTACATTTTTCTTTATTTCAATTTGCATAGCCTTCACTTCTTCCTCTATTTTTCATCCATACTCAACCATTTCTGTGTGCATCCTGATTACCAATGTTTTGAACTCTGCACCTGATAGGTTGGGTATCTCCTTATTGCTGAGTTGTATTTTTTCTGGAGCTTTGATCTATGCTTTCATTTGGACCATATTTTTTTTTTCTGTCAGTGCAAGAGTAAGGGGCAGAGCCATAGGTGTTTGCCAGGGCGGGGCAACTCGTATCTCTGTGTTGTGGCACAGTATGAGAAAGAGAGGTCCAAGGGGGAACCATTCTGCTTGTTTGCTGTCTTTCTGTCACTTCCTCAGCTACCCACAAACAAATTGGGCCCTTCTGGTTCTGACTCCCAGGTGGGTGGGTTTGTGTATGTTCTAGGACCCTGTGGGTCTCCAACAAACTTTCCTGTAAGGCTGGGAGTTTTTCCCGCTGCAACCTCAACCCCCACAGGTATTTTAAGTCAGTGGCTTTGAGGCTTTATTTCCCTGTGCTGGGACCTTGGGTTGTGAGGTGTGTCTTGCTCCCTAGTTGTTCCTCCTGGTTTATCAGCACATGATTGTGGGACTGCCCATTCCACCAGCTGCCGCATCTCCTGCTCTACCCTCTAGCCCTGCCTTGCCACAGTCCTTTGCACCCTGGCTTCCTGTCTCCACCCCTCCTACTGGTCAGAATAAATGTTTCTTCTTTAACTCCTTGGTTGTCAGACTTAGTTCAATTTTCTGGAAGTTTTCGTTATTTTCTGTTTTTAAATTTCTTGTTGTCTTCCTTTTGAATGTGCAAGGAGGCAAATTGTATCTACCTACACTTCCACCTTAGCCAGAAGTCCTTTCATATATTTCTGCCAGTTCTTACTCAGTGCCACACTGTCTTGATAGTACCTACATAGTAAATCTTGTCAATAGAATGATTTCCTTTCACTTTCTTCAGAACTCTTTTTGCTGTTTTGTGTCCTTTGCCTTTCCATACAAATTTAAAATAAGCTTATCTATATTTATAAATAAATTAATCAAGTTTTGATAAGAATTTAATCTTTTGATTAATTTGGAGAAAATCTATACTGTTACTAGGTCAAGTCTTTCAATCCATGAATACAATATATCTCTCCATTTATTTAGGTTTTCTTTGATTCCTCTTACCAATATTTTGTTGTTCTCAACACAGACATCCTATACCTGTTTTGTTAAATTTTCACCAAAAATATTTTATTTTTCTTGGAGTGATTGTAAATGGTATTGTGTTTGCACATATTCATTGTTATTGTATAAAATGAGGTTGATATTTATGTTGCTCTTGTATCCTATAACCTTCTTGAACTCATTAAATCTAGAGATTTTCTTTTTGTATTTTTTATGATTTTGTACATGGACAATTATATAATCTGAAAATAGGGACACTTCTATATTTTTTCTTTCCAATCTGTATGCTTTTTATTTCTTCTTTTTGTTTTTTGGTGTTTTTAATAGTTAGAACTTTCAGTTTGATGTTATAAAGAATTGATGTGAGTGGAGATTGTTACCTTCTTCCTAAGCTGAAGGGGAAGCATACTGTTTTTCACCGTTTAAAAAATCTTATATTTCTATTTGGGGAAAACAAAATGTATGTATTTCAGTATATAATGTAGTATTTTGAATTATGCATACATTGTAAAATGACTCCTACAAAAATTGGCACATTCATTACCTCTCAGTTATTTTTCTTTTTTTGGTGTGTGATAAGAACACTTCAGATCTACTGTCTTAGCAAATTTCATGTATGAAATTCAGTAGTATTAACTGTATTACAGTCATCATGCTGTACATTACATCTTCAGAACTTATATATTTTATAACTAAAACCTTATGACCTTTGATCATTATCATTATCTTTCCTCCCAGGCTCTGATACACAGCATTCTGTTCTCTCTTACTATGAGTTTAATGGTTTTCTTTTAAATTTCACATAATAATGAGATCATGTGATACTTGTTTTTCTGTGTTGAACTTAATTCACTTAGCATGTTGTCCTCCAGATTCACCCATGTTGTCACAAATGGCCAGATTTCTCCTTTTTACAGGCTAAAGAAAATTCCATTATATATATAACATTTTCTTTACCTAATCATCTATCCACTTATATAGAAAGGAATTATTGATAGGTAAGGACTTACTATTACCATTTTGTTAATCCAGGTGTGTCAAAGATTCTTTGTTCCTTCTTCTTCTCTTCTTCCTGTCATTTTTTTGGGAATTTGATAGTTTTCTGTAGTAGTATGCTTTGATTGCTGTCTCTTTCTTTCTTCTATATCTCCCATGCTTTGTGGTTACCATGAGGCTTACATAAAATATCTTCTAGATATAATTATTTATTTTACGATAATTTTGTTCTTATTTAAAATTAAATGCTTTTACTTGATTTTTAATTTTTTAACATTTTAATATTTTATTGATTATGCCAGTACAGTTGTCCATTTCCCCCTTCATTCCTCTCCACCCTGCACATGCCCTCCCATCCATACCCCCCCTTTAGTTCATATCAATGTGTCATAAGTTCTTTAGCTTCTACATTTCCCACACTGCTCTTGCCCTCCCCCTGTCTTTTTTCTCCCATCCATCTATGCTACTTATTTTCTGTACCTTCTCCCCCCTCTCCTCCTCCCACCCCCTGCTGCTAACCCTCCTTGTGATCTCCATTTCTGTGGTTCTGTTCCTGTTCTACTTGTTTGCTTAGTTTGTTTTTGCTTTTGTTTTAGGTTCAGTTGTTAATAACTGTGAGTTTGTTGTTGTTTTACTGTTCATAGTTTTGATCTTCTTTTTCTTAGATAAGTCCCTTTAACATTTCATACAATAAGGGCTTTGTGATGATGAACTCCTTTAACTTGACCTAATCTGGGAAGCACTTTATCTGCCCTTCCATTCTAAATGAAAGCTTTTCTGGATAGAGCAATCCTGGA